CATAACATGGTCGAGCCATGAAGCGGGCGTAGGCTGGTCTTCCCAAAATGGCGTGGTAGGCGCTCTGGAAATCCACGACTTCAAATGACAGCTTCTCTTTGCGGAAATGTTTCGAGTCACCGAACACCACATCCAGAGCTATTTGGCCGAGTGACTCGGCCTTCTTTCCTGGGATGACTCCGTGAAAACTCATGTTGCTGGAACTGAGTCCAGACATCGGAATGCCCATTCCCTTGAGTGTCTCTGCATACAGTATATTCAACCCGCTGCCGCCATCCATCAATACCTTCGTCAGTCGAGTGCCTTCGACGACCGGGTCGACCACCAGCGCTTGCCTCCCAGGGGTGGCAATGTGAGTAGGATGGTCAGACTGGTCGAAAGTAATGGGGGTTCGCGACCATCTTAGATAGTTTGGTGTCGCCAGGGCGACCATATTGACCTCACGGTTGATCACTTTCAGTCGACTTTTGCTCTCTACATCAGCAAAAATCATCAGAGTGGAGTTGACATGAGGGTACTCTTCATCACTGTCCTCCTTGTCCTCAGCCTTGTCCGACTCCTTCTCTTTATCTTTCAGTTGTTTCCCTTGAAACTGCTGGATTAAGAGCCGGCACTGGCGAGTGGTATGCTTTGGGTAGATGAAGTTACCCTCTTCGTCTTTCTTCGTGTGGATATGACACAGTAGATCCATCACATCATTACCTTCCTTATCTTTTACCTTCTTGGGGTTCCAAGATCCTTTGGGCTTCCCTTTGAATTTGCCCTGAGTCACGGCCAGAGCCTCTCCAGGAGCTGCTGGCTCGGCCTTCCGCTTTTGCTTCCGACTGGAGTTTCCTTTATCCGACTGACTTGGCTTGTACTTGCCGCTCCGGAGTCGGTCCTCTTCTTTGCTGTTGGCGTACTTGGTGGCTATTTCCATCATCCGACTCAGGGTCATATCTCCAGTTCGACCAAACTTCAGGCTCAACTCTCTGTTCTTGACGCCATCCTTGAAGGCGCAAACCGCTTGATGGTCTGACACATTCTCTATAATATGATGCAAAGTGATCCACCTCTGGATGTAATTCCTCAGTGTTTCACTCGACTTTTGTACACAAACTTGCAGCTCAGTCAATCCAGCAGGTCGCTTGCAAGTTCCCTCAAACGTCCTGACGAACACTCGAGAAAGATCTTCCCAGGTGTAAATGCTGCTAGGAGCTAACTGATTCAACCACGCCCTGGCCGAACCCTCTAGCATAAGTGGCAAATGTTTCATGGCCACCTCATCATTACCGCCACCAATCTGAACAACCACTCGGTAGTCTTCGAGCCAAGTTTCAGGTTTAGACTCTCCGGTGAACTTACTCACCCCAGTCGCCAACCTGAAGTTGGGGGGGTATCATTGCGGCTCTGATCGCTCTGCTAAAACATTCTGGACCTGAAACATGGACTCGGCTGCTTGTGGGCACATCTCTGTCATGACCACCTCTATGAGCTCTGTTTCGGTCGACCAAACCTTGCACGATGATGGATCTCGCGTCAAAGCCGGGCTCTCTGGGGTCGACTGGAGCTCTCCGCCCAACACTGAGCTGGCGTCTGTCATCTTGCTGCCGATGGGCGTTAGACCCACTTCTCGGAGGAGGAGTGGGCACTCGACGCCTGTCATCACGATCAAATCGATCATCATAGTGGTCCCGCCGGACTTCACGTCCCATGCGCCTCGGAGGCGACCTTGGACTGTGAGCCGACTAAACAGTATTCACAGCGACGGATCGACTGTGAATCCTGTTGCGCGACTGTGACATAGCTGAATTCTGATCTCCTGCCGCCCGGAGCAAATCTCTGATCTGCATCAAGCCTCTTCCGGCCTCTGACTGAGAGGGCTGAATTGACTCCGCTATGCGGGCTGCAGCTGCCAAATTCTGAATTGGGATTCGATATACCTGAGTCGGTTGCGGAAAGAGCTGACGTCGGTTGGAGTTGGTCACTCGTTGACGCGCACGCTCGTCGAGTGCTCGCTGGAGGTTCTCCAGTCGAGTGCGTTCAGCCAGGTTGGCTAAACGCGCCTCTTCCAGGGCACGAGCCTCAGGAGTTTCTCCTGCAATGGGAGTATGCAGGGCATCCATGTTCCGGCGGCGAAGTTCTTCCCTCTGCTGGGAAGTGAGCGGCTCGGGTTGGTACTCTTCATGGGCTTGAGCAGGGTCGTCCTCGTCGTCCATCCCGTCGCCGTGGGGGAAACCGGGAGGACTACGGTGCCCGTTGACCATCAGGACCTCCGCCGCTGGATCACTGCTATCACACTCGGATGCAGTCTCTACGGAGCCAGTCGACAGGTCGAACAAGCCGTAGAGAGATTCGTTGGGCTCAATCGCCGCGACTTGGGTGGTGGCTGATTGGTGAGCCACTGCGTGTCTCACCCATCGCTAGAGCCTCGACCGACTGGAGCGCTTGCACTGGCGGGAGACAGGGAGGGAGGACGGCGCAGGAGTCGACCGGTATGGGGTCGATGGCTGCCGCATAAAGACGCCGCGGACACACGCTCGAAAGTGCGTCGCCCCGTGGACGGGGAGCGCGTCGATGTCGAGTGATGCCTTCTGGAGCCAAGCGGAGTCGTCGGCGATGAAAGTGAGCGCACCGAGACGGATCTTGTGGCCCTCGACCAGAGCTCCGCTGGAAACCATGATGAAGGCAATCGGACAAATTGCAACTTCTCCAAAAAAGTCGCTAAGACACCTGCCCCACGGTGGGCGCCAACTATCGTGGTTCTAAGTCTGACAGTAGAATGGGGGGTAGGTATGGAGAGGCAAGATCCTAGCTATGGAGTAGTTGTACACACGAGTGTTTAGCGAGTTCAGGCCCTTCTCGGAGGAAGTAACAGCCCTATGTCTCGGAGCCCGGAGGCGGTCGACTGATTTCTGTGTATATGAGTTACAGGGGTGCGAACCCCTCTACCAGTGGAGGGGGGTGGCTTATATAGAGGACGCCAGGACCCCAGCCATCCCACATAGCAGAGGATTAAAGTATATTAAGGCTGGGCGTTACTGGTAACGCCCTACTTAAAGTGTCATCATGACCATTAAGACTACTTAATTACAGACCGTTTGGATGCAGAGTAGATCCTGAACTCCTGATGGTCCAGTGGGTCTTGATGGTCGAGTGTCTTCAGGTTTGTCGAGTGTCTTCTAGCCGGTCGATTGAAGTCCCTCTTGGTCGACTGGAAGGTAGCTTCGTCTAAGGATGTCCTTGGGCATGGTATCCTAGATAGGTCTATGACTCTACCCTAGGTACATATCCTCATCATATACCAATAGTAAGAAGGGAAACGTTTACAATCAGCGAACCGGCCGAAACTTCGGCCGGCCGCCTCGCCCAGTACGCGCGTTGGGCTCCCGCAGACAAGCCACGTCACCCAGGCCCAGCCCGCACCGCTTTTCTTTTTTTTCTTCCCTTATCTCTAAGTCCGACCTCATATACTCCTTCCCCTTTCGTCTAGCTTGCGCCGCTGATTTCTCGATAGAGCTCGCCTGCTCCTCTCTCTTCAGACCTCTCCAGCGCCGGCACACCTACAGCCCACCCCCACCGCAGCACAGCTAACCCCCCCCCCGGTCGAGTGCTGGTATGCTAGAAACCAACCATGTGCGGCACTGAGCCCCATCCAGGGGGATTTTGCTTCAGCCGCCGACGACTGTGGTTGGCGGCGATGGCGGTGGCGGAGAATAAGTTGCTATTTTTTATTTGTTTTTGCTGGAACCAGGTTTGATTTTTGCTGGAACCTGCTTGCATTTTTGCTGCAACAGAGAGATGATAGTGCTCGTCGGCGACGACATGGCCGCCATGAAATTGTGTTTGCTGGAACCAGCAATCCTTTTTGCTAGAACCAACCTTTGTTTTTGCTACATCACAGAAGACTACGTGGTGGAAATTAGCTGCATCCAGCAAATATTTTTGCTGCATCCGTCATTATTTTTGCTGGAACCAGCACGAGCGTCAGGGAGGAAAATGCTACAACCGGTGCGTCAAATTGGTACAGCCGGCTTTTTTTCCTGGGACCAATCGAGAGTGAGCGCGGAGGAGCTGCATCCAGCGACGTAATTTGCTACATCCGACATCGATTTTTGCTGGAACCAGCACGAGCACCAGACGGTCACACGACGCCACCGGTCATCCATTTTTTTGCTTGAGCTGGCAGCGGTGTGCTGGAACAAGAGGGGAGGAGGGGTGGGGATGGTCAGCTCCTGGCAACGGCGATGGCCGGAGTTGGCTATGCTGCAACTAGGACCGGGGAGCGAGGGCGTGTTGGGCGAGGTTCTTTTGCTTGAGGGGCACAGTCGCCGCGTTGACCAGGCGGCGAGGGCGGCCAGCTGATACTAGACGGCGAGGGCAGCCGGCTGTTTTGCAGCAAGGTCAATGGCGCTCGTCCTTGGCTGGGTGGGCGACGCTCGATTCGCTCTCGTCAGTTTGCGCTCGCGTGATTTGGGGACAAAAGCTGTTCGTGGAACAGAAGTGTAACTTTATCAAGTGGCTCAAAACCGCTGTATCCCGCGGCTAGGACGCGATTGCGCCTAGCACTCGCCTAGTAAGAAATGCTGCAAATAACAGAAATAAAAAAGAAGTGGGTTTTTCCGGGGAATAAATGGAGTATTTCATATATTTTTTTTGAGGGATGAACAAAAGTTTTATTCATCAAAAACCACAGTTTGTGGGATACATGCTGGATCGTGGGGGTGTAACAGCCACACTTGGCGCCCCTGAGCTAGCCTTAGAGAGTATTTTGCTAAGCTATGCGCATCGTTATTAGATCGGCGCATTTCATATGAAAAAAAAGATAGTACTATACTAGTCAAAGCGGCCCATCTTGTTGACGTCTGCCGATCTACTGCTATATGCGCACGCGGGGCGAAGCCCATTTTAGGCCCTGCGGTTGGTGGGAATTTCTTATCAGTTTGCCCTACGTGTCACCCACAGCGCCACACGAGGAAGGTCAATTCGCCGGCGCCGTCGGTTGGAGCGAGCTCACCCCAATGGCGGCCGCGCTCCGGTGGCTCCTGGTCGAGCACCCCGCCGTCGCCTCCTTCCACTGGCGCCCGGGCACCACGCTCGCGTCGTCGCCGTCCTTCCCCGCCGCCGTCATCTGCGCCTACCTCGCCACGGTGCTCCTCCTCCACCGCCGCGTCCTGCCCCTCCCGTCCCTCCCGCCGCGCGCGCTCCGCGCCGTCTCCGCGCTGCACAACTGCGTCCTCCTCGCCCTCTCCGCCGCGATGGCCGCCGGCTGCGTGCTCTCCGCGGCGGCCACGGCGCCCTCGCCGCGCTGGGTCTTCTGCTTCCCCCCGGGCGGCGCCACGGAGGCGTCGGGCCCGGTCTTCTTCTGGGCGCACGTCTTCTACCTCTCCAAGATGTACGAGCTGGGCGACACGCTGCTGATCCTCGTCGCCCGCCGCCCGCTCACGCTGCTCCACGTCTACCACCACGCCGTCGTCATCGCCATGTGCTACCTCTGGCTCGCCACGCGCCAGTCGCTCATGCCCGTCGCCCTCGTCACCAACGCCGCCGTGCACGTCGTCATGTACGCCTACTACCTGTGCTGCACCCTGGGCCTCCGCTGGCCGCCGCGATGGAAGCGCGCCGTCACCGAGCTGCAGATCCTGCAGTTCCTCTTCAGCTTCGCCGCCTCCGTCGTCATGCTCTGGTTCCACTTCGCCGCCGGCGGCTGCGAGGGGATGGCAGGGTGGGCCTTCAACGCCGTCTTCAACGCCTCCCTGCTCGCGCTCTTCCTCGACTTCCACGGCGCCGCCTACGCCGCCAAGGCCAAGGCCAACAAGAAGAACACCACCAATGGCAACAATGGCAATGGGGGGAAATCAGAGTGACCACCTGCACGCGTGAAGAGGGGAAAAAAAGGTTTAGATTACATAGTATTTCTGATTAATTCCAGGCCTTTTGATTCGTGATGAAATGCATTGGCCTTCCATTTTTGACAATTCTAGTTTTTCAAATTTTCCAAATCACCAATCAAGACGTTCATGCAGAAGGCCAATCACAATATAGCAGCTTTGTTTTGATTCCTCTGCTTTTCTTACGTGAACTTCTGCAAGTTCTTAAGCTTTTGCTTCAGTCAGAATGCGATGTAGATTCAGCGATATCAGTAGCTTCTGTCAGGACTATTTTTACCCTCTTCTTTTGTATGGAATCTTCTTTCTTCGGAGCAAGATTAATTGGCAATGCATATTACATACTCATGTGTACTAAGTTGAACCAACCCCAACCGAGCCTACATATTCATATTCATGAACTGTATTTTCTTTCGTATGTCAAATAAGTACCCATTCAATTGTCAGGTATGGAATTGCATTATAACATTTAAATTAGGTAATCACAGTGATTGCTTACAAAATATACGTGCCCCCATCTGCAACGCACGAACAATTATCTATGTCAATCTATAATAATCCAATCTGAATCTTATAAGTTAATCAAGGAAAGTTGGTCATGTCCAAATGGTTTCGCCGACAATCGTCGCAATTGTGAAGTCGAGTGTTGCTTTTCGATAAAGAATGAATTTTACTGACTCAATTGTAGCATCAAGAGAATACAAACATAGTGAGCACACACCCGACCTCTGCATAGTTAGGATGCACGCAGCAAACACCAATGCACACACACAAATAACACGCTGACAAATATCAAAGTCATATGAGACCAAAGCTATGCATGGGAGAGAAAAAAAACGCAAAGAGATCAGATTTGCAATCAACAAACTACAAAACAATGACCATATCCGCACCAACCATGTCATGACACCACTGGGACGACGGGGTCCTTCAACAGCAACGCCTTCAGGAAGGGAGCAACGCTCAAGCGCCGTCGAGTGTTGCTAGCTGTGTCAAGACGTTCTCTGCACATCCTCATGGGGGTCGGAAACCTAAGCAGGAGCACCAACACTTTATTATCTAGGAGAACTACTTGGCGGCAAAACTCTCATGGACTCTAGGTCCTATGAGCGCCGTGTGAATCTCTTTGACATACTTTGTAGCTAGTCATCTTTCCCACATGGTTCTATGTCCTGGTGTGTCACATGATTCCCATAAATCTTGAGATGCAAAACACTGGTGAGTGAAGCATGTGAGACTCCGCCGCCCCGATATCTTTTGTTACCAGGACAACTAACCGTATTAAACTTATGTTGACAAGTGGCGATGTGTAGGGCAACTGCGTGCAGGAAACCAGAGGTGGTATCAAACACTTAGATCGTGTTTCCCTTTGCATCCCAATCCTTCTCGGTCAATCTTGTTTTCCTTTTGTGCTCTCTAGGATGGATGAAATATTATTGAAGACATGTGATAGGCTCTGAACTCCAAAGGAAGAAGCATGCTACGAAAAGAGAGAGGGCACATGGAAAGGAACTTATGAGTGTCCAAATACCATTGGTATAGCATAGGTCGATCAACGTATTAAATATCACTGACATCTCACCTATTCTCAACATTATCCTCCTCGCCCTCATGTGGTCTACATTGTCGAATCCTTCAATGCATGCCCTTCTGTCTTTACAAAACGTACTAATTAATAATGAATATTAAGTGTGAGCTACATTCGCATAAGTTGGAGACCCGAGTGAGCATTGCTTGCTTCCATGTGGTTCACAAATAGTATCGGACACCCCTAGGCATTCGACAGGGTTCACAATGGTTGCGTCGGACGACGCCGAGGGACGAGATGAGGCGTTGGGGCTTGGGGTGGCCGGGGGCAGAATTCAGCCGACGTGAAGGTGGGAATGGGGCGGCGCGTTCACATGGTGGTGATTAAGCTTGGCGCCACCGCTTTTGGTTTTTTGTTAGCGTGTTAAGGAGGATCTAAATATTGTTCTGGGTAGCAAATTTTTTTTCATTCCCATGCAATTTTTTTTTTGATTTCCCATGCAATTTTAAATGTATTGCCTCAAAAAAAAAAGTTTTTACATAGGTTTTGGAAGTCTGCTATTGGAGATGCTCCGGAGGCACGACGGAGTCAACGAGTTTATCGGATGATTTATCAGTGGGGCCCACATGAACGTGACTTCAATCCCCTCAATTCCGTTGTCCTCCTGGTTTGGAGCACGGCACCAATCAACCAACCCCCAATCGAGCACGCCGTCCACTTCCGAGGTCGCGTGCGTGGATAGGGTTTGCTTCGCCGCCGTCCCGCCGACTGCGCCTCCCCCCTCGTCGCCGCGCCGCCGCCGGGGAGACCAGGCCACCACCAGCCGAGCTACCGATCGATCGACCAACGCGGTGATGGCGATGGCCGCGGCGCACCAGATCCCCAAGGTCGCCCACACCCTCGTCGAGATCGCCGAGGTCGCGCGCTACGCCTACGAGCACCGCTCCGGCCACGCCCCGGACCACGACGGCGCCACGGCGATGGCCGCCGACGGGGAGGAGGCCGCGCGGCTGCGGGCGGATAACGCCGTCCTCCGCGCCCGCCTCGCGGACGACCTCGCCCTCCTTCGCGAGCTTCAGGGCGCGCCCTTTGTTTCCCAGGAGTGCCCTCCCGACGTGAGCCCCCCCGCACCACCGCTTTCACGTCCTTGCCGATTCTTCTTACCTGTTTTCGCCACGATGGTGCATGATTAATTGTTACATACACTCGTTTATCTGGTTACAATGAGAAATTAGCTTCACTAGATTCGTCATAACATATATAAGTTTTCATACTATATATTTGATGTCGTAGATATTAGCGAAATTTTCTCTAAAGTTTATCAAACTTGTATAAGTTTGACTTAGGACAAACCTAGAGCTTCAAACATTTTGGAACGGAGGTGGTTGCACCCTAGTTTCGTTGTTAGAAACAACACATATATGTCTGCGATCCGGCATGATTCAGCATCACAATGAAATACAGCATCGTTGTTGTGGGTGGCTTTGAGCCATATCCGTTTAGGTGCAGTGAAGTTACTTCTAAGCATTCTGCTCCATGTTATTGAAAGATGGTGTTGGGATATATTATGTTTACAGTGTGACAAGAGCTAACCGTTTAATATCTCCACGATATGAACTCAAGATCAATAGTATAAACTTATGGATTCATTATGCTGCAATGACACGTTATTCAGCTTATATAATTAAACGATTCTTCTTCATGCCGGCTGACATCTTTTGTCGATGTGATTTTGTGGTGCAGTTGCATAATCGTCTCGTAGCATCAGTCAACAATGCTGGCTTCCTTGCTCATCTTGAGAAAGTACGAGATGAGCCGCTGCATCAACATACCAAACTATCTATTGGCAGTGTGACAGGTTCATCCTTGCTAAAACCTTGTGAAGTTTGTTGCTGAACTATGCTTTCATAGCATTATAGCAACTGTTTATTACTTCATTCTTTTATATTCTGCGATCATTATGGATTTAACATCTTCCTGTTTTCTATTGGAATCAAACCAGAGGTGGACATTGGAGATATTCCTTACACTAAAGATGAGGGGAAGACTGGGTCATGGCTCTTGGTTTCCTGTGACACTGCTGGGGGCAATTTGGAGGAAATTAGTGGAATTGATGACGAAAATTATGTGATGGTTAATGAAGATGACATCGTTGATGCTATTGCTACCTTTGTTGCTAGGTGCATTCTTGAAGATCCAAAGTCCAAGGTATTGTTATTTTCAAGAGTTGATACATCCTCTTCAGCAATGCTTCGTCACCTAACTGTTTGTTGTTTTTTCTCCAGTCATTATCATCGAAAGAGCTGCAAAAAGGTATGACTATCCTCCATGCTTCTGCCCTTGAAGTTAAAATTTGTAATTTTCTAAATGGTGTTTTGTTTCTGAAATCATTGCTTTCAAACAGTGAGACAAGCACATGGGTTAATTAATTAGGTTTATCTAGTTAGCGCTATTATGAGAAAGTTCACCACAATGGAGACCCAGTGTCGTGGTTCTAAGCCTGACAGTAGAGTGGGGGGTAGGTATGGAGAGGCAAGGTCCTAGCTATGGAGAGGTTGTAAGCACAAAGGATGTACGAGTTCAGGCCCTTCTCGGAAGAAGTAACAGCCCTACGTCTCGGAGCCCGGAGGCGGTCGAGTGGATTATGAATGTATGAATTACAAGGTGCCGAACCCCTCTGCTTGTGGAGGGGGGTGGCTTATATAGAGTGCGCCAGGACCCCAGCCAGCTCACGTAGGAGAGGGTTTAAGGTGAGTTAAGTCTGGGGCGTTACTGGTAACGCCCCACATAAAGTGCCTTTACTATCATAAAGACTACTTGATTACAGGCCGTTGCAGTGCAGAGTGCCTCTTGACCTCCTGGTGGTCGAGTGAGTCTTCGTGGTCGAGTCCTTCAGGCCAGTCGAGTGAATCCTCGTTGGTCGACTGGAAGGCGACCTCTTCTAAGGATGTCCTAGGGTAAGTTACTTGGATCAGGTCCATGATCCTACCCTAGGTACACAACCCCATCATTAGCCCCCGAATGGATTGAGGCCTCGAGTGAAGAAGGAGTTGATGTCGTTTCCGATTGACCTTTGCGCTCTAGTTGTGCGCCGTTCTGGACCAAAGAATCTCTTCGTTGACAGGGAGCAATTTGCCTTCAGTCGACTCGATCCATTCTGTTTTTGCGTCGAGTGATCTTTCGGGCTTCGACGATCTCCGAGCGACGGATCGCCGGAAACACCGCGTCTGACAGACTGATTTGTTGCTCGCGGATTCCGCGGGATGCGAAATTTGGGGGCGCGCGCGAAGCGGGGCGGACCGCGGCGTTCGGATGGGACGGGGCATAGACGCCTCGATCTCCGCGCCGCCTTTTTCGTCACGTATCCAGCCTGCATAACTGCTGTCAGATATGATTAGATCGACCGGGCCCGCATGTCAGCCACTCGGAAGGGACCTTATAAATGCGCCCG